TTGAAGAATAGACAGAATTTTGATAAGTGTAGAGGAGGGGGGTGAAGTCCCCTAGCTGGATGCCGAGAAGATCTCCTGCCTGCAAAGAGGTTTGTGTTGAAAGTGTTGCATGATAAGGTTGGTGAAGTCATGTGAAACTAAACTATGAGAAGTCTCTAAGATAAGTGGAGGATTTTATAAGTTATGGAGTGTGACAATGGAAGTAATTCTAATTTGGTAAGCAAGGAATGATATGGTGAAAACAGTGATTTAAGATTACCAAATCGTCAAAGTTGGTCAGCATTAAACTACCTTCAGAGTTTGATAAAAATACACATTTCTGCTACCTCTTTCAGATCTACTGAGTCATAATTGGTGAGTGGGGAGACTAAGAAGCTTCATTGTCAAAAACTACCTATGGAAATTTAAATACAAAGCCAGATTTAGTGGTAAATTGAGCATAGACTAACTTCACAATTATATTAAGTTTTAGGTTCCCCTATTTTTTTCACATCATAATTTCATGCACTCTCTCCATCAGGAGATCCTTCATCTGACCCCTCTTCATCTTAACATGCACTCTGATACACACTATTAAAAAGCGACAATGTTTTCTACCTACCCTCTATGTAACTCAGTTTCCTGATTTGCAAAATGGGCTTTATTGTGTCAATTGAATAATTTTCCTTCAGAGGCCTGAGAATTATTACCTTTCCCCATTTTCTCTTTTGTATTTTCAATGACATTGGAAACCATTTCTTTTCTCCTGCTTATTTCCACTGTGCTGTGCCATTAATCTTATTCCTCACCTCTAGTTTCAATACCTTGTCCACTCATCATGTCATCTAAAGTCTTTTATTTATTTAGTTTTCCTAACAGACCACTGCATCTTAAAGGCCTCATTGTATTTTTTTTAAAACTATTTATTTCCTTTTTGCAGGAAAAATATCTTGCTTCTGGTCTAGCTATTTAGACCAGATGGACACTGCAGGCAAATGAAATGAGAAGAAATAACCTACAAATAGCTAAGTATGTCCATTTCTTCTTTGGAATTTACCAATCAGATAAATCACCCCCAGCCACAACCCTGGAGGTGCAAGTGAGGGGCCAGAAGGCAAATCACTCCTAGAGTGATCTTCAAACAGGAGAAGTTTTACATGAAAATGTGTAGGAGAAAGTGTCACCCCAATGCCTGATGCCCTTCAGCTTTCTAACGAAATTGTATAATTAAGCAACACAAAAGCCAAATCTCTGCTCATTGCCTTCTTCTGCCGTTTTTTTTCCCATAAACTTCTCTGAGGTGTTGGCTGCACATGGACCATGTAGAGGTGCAAAATTTGCTGTCTTGCCGAAGGCACCTTGCTGAAGGAAGAGTGGGAGCTGAATTCCAGCTTCCTGTAGCAATGTAGCTGCCCAGAGGAAGAGGCACCATTTTCTACTGGCAAGGCAGAGTGAGCCTGGGGTGGAGTTTGTCTAGAAAGGCTGCCCTTTTAAAATTTGTCTGTCCAGAAGCAACACTTAAAAAAAATTGGTACAAAAGAGCTCCAACTATACACTCTTAAAAACTCTTCTACATCCTCCCTCCCCCAAAGAAATAAAACTCTATTTTTCTTTCTGTCTTCCTAATGTTCCCCTGCATTCTTTTCTGACTATTCTACTCCATATCACCACTTAGGTCACTATTGTTCAGTCTTCAGCCTCAGCTAAGTTTTCTTTTACTTCTTCTGTACACTGTTTAAGATAGGGCTGGCATGCTTGCCATTCTCTAGAATGGTGGTCTGCACAATTCAGGGTGGACTGATACCACCAGTTATGTTAAGATAATGTGGGCCTACCTTAACTTTGGCATCCATCATGCCCAGTCTTTGGCTAAAAATCACTCAAAGAGACAAACAAAAGCCCCACAGTCTTGTTTACATATGCTACTATTTCTAGCATCCCTCCTGCTATCCTCAATTTTAAACTTATTAGGTGTGTTATGCCATTAACTCTGCAAATAGGACCCTGGAATGTGCTGAGTTATGAAAAGGATATAAAAGGATAGATGTTACTTAGGACCAAAGAAAAAGGAGAAACTCCTATTTTGTGTCTACATTCTCATTCATTAGCTGATTTGCGAAACAAACATTAAACTAGGCCTTATGGATAAAAAAAAAAATGGTACTTTTGTCCTCACATTCTTTCCTCAGGCCATGGTTCTCAGACTAGAAAGCAGTGAGAAAATGTTGGCAAGAGGCACCCAACAGTGGAGCAGAAGAAATCGTAAGTGAACACTGGCTGGGCTAAATAAGCTCAAGTCTCTTGACATGGAAGAAACATGTTTCTTTTTCCACATCCGAGTTTCATTCTTTCTAATCTCTTCCCCATAAACTCCTGCTCTTTTGAATTCTCATCTTTGGTTGGACACTCTTTATTTTGTGTTTAAATAGGCTCTTTTAATGCCTGCACCTGATGGGGTAGCTCCTTATCTTGGTATATTGGCTTCTCAAGTACATGTTTATCTTCTAGGTGAGTCAGAATTATTATAGTTACTGTTTAAGAGCTTCTCTTAAGCAATCCTCTTCAGGATCAGAGATTATTTTCCCTCTTGCAGCTGTTGAAATTTGCTTTCCTATAGTCTGCAATACATATCTGACTTCTTGTCTATTACAAATTCTGAGGTTGTAACACTTAATGGTAAGAACCATAGAGATTTCATTGTCATGAGCCTTTAATTTACCCAAAGTCTATTTTCATTTTATTAAGAAAATTGAAAGTAAATTCTTTTCAACAAAGATTACTGTCCTTTTTGCTTCACTTCTATGCTCCTCTTCATAAATCATAGTGGGGCAGTATCTCCTGCCACTTTTTCTACAGCTTAGGATATTAAATTGTCACCAAGACATATTAAGAAACAGATATTCTTCTTTTAGTTGAAGGAGGTGTCTGGCAAATGTCTGTACAGCCCAGATCTGCTTCCTTTTATTTTTTGCATTTGATTTTTTTTACCAAGTCTTATATTTTCTACTCTTAGAATATCTTTGGAGTCATTCTCCTCTTCATTACCAGTTAAGGACACTTCCAACTAGATCAACACAAAAGCCTTCTGACTGGAATCTCTGTCCTCAAGTTTTTTCCTTTCAATATCTTCTGAAATCAACTATCAGATAAATATTAAAACAGTGCATTTAACCCATAATACTCCTGTTCAAAAACCTACAATGCATCTCAAGTAATAATAGGATAAAGCCGTCACTTCTCAGCTTGACATTGAAGGTCTCCACAAACTACTTTACAGATTTATCTTCCACTACTTCTCATTACGTCTTGATCGTAATCCTCAGGTCCAGCCACACTTACATGTTGTCATCTCTGCCATCGTATGGATGCTTTCTCCCTCTGGCATATCCTGCATGTGCTAACTCTACTATTTTTGTCACATCTTTTTAACTGAACTGCCAATATTATTGACTATTGCTCTGTATCATATGTTGTGGGAGATTCAATAAGTATGAGGCAAAATTTTTGCCTAGAGGAGACTTGTGACTTGTAGTTTATTGAAGAAGACACAGTGCAATCTAGAACTCTAGAGTGTAAAGAACCTACATTAATATAAAAGGGAGAATGTGATGTGCTAAAGCAAACGCCTTTACATATATTTTGGGAAAATAAGATAAGAGACTATTTCTGACCAGGAGGTTTGTGAAAGACTTCATGGAAGCAGGGTCATTTGAGTGAATGAGGGATAAAATGCCAACATATTGGAGTATGGGCATTCTAGGTTAAAAAATTAGCCAATAGTTCAGGGTGCTGGAGTATAGTGGCTATGTTTGTGGTGGGTGGAGAGAAGATCATTTGAGATAAGGCTGCAGAGTTAGCAGGAGCAGTGCTAAAGTGTTTCCATTTTGCTGTCTAGTCTACGGGAGACTTTGAAAGGTTCTGAGCAATGGAATAACATGATAGAATCTGTGCTTAGTGAAGATATCTCTGTCAAATATATATATATATGTATGTATATATATATATATATATATATATATATGACTTTGAAATAAAGAGAAACCAAAACTGTTGATCAGATGGGTGGCTCTTGTAGTAATCTATGCCAATGGTGATGAATGCCTGAACTACAGAAAGCAGTGAGATGAGAAAGGAAGGGTTAGTAGGCAAAGCATTTCTGCAATATATTCTGTAAGATAGAAGAGGGAAGAAAGTAGGCATTGAGCATTTTAGAGGAACATTAACTTATTCAATACAATTTCATAGTACATAATATTTGTCAGGAACTCTGTTATGAACTAGGACTACTGAAACAAATATGCAACAAATATACTGAAACAAGTCTAAAGCAGAATGAGTTTACAATGTAGTCAAATATAGAAATATAAACAAATACCACACAAAGTAATTAAGATATCTATATCTACATCTATTTATCAATCTGCTTTTTTGGGGCACAGAGATATGAAAGAGAAGACTTATTACCATGCCATTTGAACTGGATTTTTAAAGATAAGTAGAAGCTTGATAAATAAGATGGGAGCATGAGACATTGAGGCAGAGAGAAGAGCTTCTGCAAACACACAGATGAATTAAAGTGCATGGTGTGTTCCTGGGGCCCCTGAGCAGCTAGAGAAGGCAGCAGAAGTACCTGGTAGAAAGTAGAAGGAACATTTGCTAGATTGTGCTCAGCATTTTTCATTTTTTTCTGAAGGTGATAATAAAACAGGAAAGGGTTTAAAAAGACGTCTGTGTTTAGAAAAGTAGCATTAAGTTGAAGATAAACTGGGGGTAAAGATCGAAGGTAGGCAGTTCAGTAGGGAGTTGTTGCAATAATTCAGGTTCAGGATAATGAATCTCCGGACTCAGGCAGTAGAGGGAAAAAAATGGAAGATTGAATGTTTATGTAGTTGGTGGAATCTAGATATAAAGCACAACTGAATGCAGAAAGAGGTTAGAAGGTGACTGCCAGGATTTACGTATAGATGATGGAGCTGACACTGTTGCCACTGACTGACTGTCATTTTTTTTTTTTTTGGTAGTGGAACATTTTTTATTGAATGCATAAACATATAAGTCCCTCTATTAGAGAAACTGTATATATTGGTGAATATGGTCAATGGTCACATCTATGAGTTAATTCTTTAAAAATCAGAGCCAATAATTAGGATAGATTCTACGCTCTCTTCATTACATTGTGAAGTGCCTTGTGTAGTCATATTCTATTGTTGGAATGACAGCTTGTACAAATTTCAAGAAAATTAGAAGATACATGTGAACTCCAAGTTCTCCCCCTCCTTCTGCAACAGTCTCAGTGATTTTCTTCATCGCCTCAGCATGCCTGCACGGGTGAACTGAACACATAGGAGGTGGTGGGAGATGAGGGTGATTTTCAATGGTCACTGTTTTCTTCACATGATCTTGACTGATGTCTTCACACATGTGCTCAACTGTTAAAGGCTGCCGTTGCTCATCATAGCCAAACAACCATAGTCGCGGTGTCTGGTAATATTTATAAGTGATGTAAATGTCATAAGTTCTGGTTTGCAAAATGGCATCTTTGCCTCCAGCATCAGTTTTAACTTTACAAGCTTCTACTATTTTTCTTGTGTCTAGAGTAGCCTCATCTGTTTCCAACAATCCACTCTCTTCATATTCTTCCATATCTGCAGCTTCTCCTTCATCTTCTTCTTCTTCCTCTTCCTCTTCTTCCTTAGTGCTGAACAATCTTGGAGTTTTATACTGTCCTTGCTTTCCAGTGTAATCTCCTTAACTGCTTCAGTTATTCCTGCAATACCTGTGTTGTGGTATGTGTCTACCCAGAGAAAGAAAATACAGGCCGAAGAACAGGGTTTATGCAAAAAAGTGTAAGTGATAATCATAACAGCTAATATTTACTGAGCCTTTATGTACCAGGCTCATTCTTGTATTTTGTATGAATTACTCCTCACAATGGAATTATGAAATAAGTAATCTCATTATCTCCACTTTACAGATGAAAAAACTTAACACATACAGAATGTAAGTAACTTGTCCATGTTTGCACAACTAGTAAGATATAGAGCCAGAATTTGAACCCAGTCAATATAGTGCAAGAGAATTTATCCTTAACTTTTGTCCACCCTTATATTTGACTTTGGACATATGAAGCTTTCTGTGTTGGTAGAGAGTTGAAGGATGGGAGAGCAGTCAAAGGTAGAGATGCAGAAATGACATTCAGTAACAGAGAGTACAGTGAAAGCACAGTGAAATTGATAAAGTGAAAGTCGAGTGAAAAGTGAACTGAGGATTGAACCTTACAAAATGTTTCTAATTAGTGTTTGGAAGTTGTATGTGAGTCATGTTGAGAATCAGGTGTGATCAGAGAAGTAGGAGGTGAGGAAGATGAGTACATGTTTTACACTAAAGAGAGTAGATACTGCCAATAGGAAACATGTTCATCAGCATTGAGACCAAGATGGTGAAGGACTGATGCAAGGCCATGAGGTTTGGCTTTGGAGGGTGAGTTTGAGGAAAGACAGTAAGCACAGACTTTGCTTTTTAAACCTTTTTTTTTCTGGCAAAAAACAGATCAGATATATATTTAAAAAAATTTTAAGTGTCTTGCAATTAAGAGCTATGTCTTGGGAGCCATAGGAAAATATGCTCCAACTGAGGTCAGCATGAATGCACCCAAGTTATTCACCTACAGGTTACATCAGCAGTGGTAGTCAACATGGAATGAGGACCTGAAGCTTTGCCTTTAATATTACATGTAGCATAAAACATTCAAAACTTTCTTATGTTTCCATAAGAAACAGCAAGAAGGAAAGGTAGTCATATAATGAGCCAACAAGGAGCCACAAACAATAAAATAGATGTAGACACAAAAGAAGGACAATGTAAAAAATATAGTATAACTTTCTGGATGGTAGAGATTGGTTCCACTGTAAAGATCAAAGTGTTAGTTTTTAAAAGAAGGATGAACACACACTTCTATGAAAGATTAGGAATTGAGGAGACATAAGACCTACTCCAATCCATTTTAATGAACTTAAATGAAGTTTTAAATATACTCAGAATGGTCATATGAGAGTCATACCACTGTGGTAGTATTTAAAAAAGAAACTGTCTCATCTATGGGATTCAGCTAGACCACTTTCCACTGGTGAGGCTCATCATTTTTCTTAGCATTCTTGATCCCTTGATATCCTTGCACTGAGACTCAGCTTGGGTATGCCCTCCCTCCATTATCAGACTCTCTATATTTGCTCTTTGTGTCTATGTCTCATAATCCCATGTAAGAAGCACTAGTTCACTTCCCTCCCCCATTCCTGGTGGGACACACTGGCTGGATCTTCCTCTGGTTCTTAAGCTCTGCACTAAAGGAGAGTGATCAGATAGAAATAATCTATGAAGTTAGCTAAAACAATGCATGTTGGATGACCTCAGCCTCCTCAGGGAAGTAAGAGGTGAGGTCATTTGCTAACAGTGAGGGAGTAGGCTCCAGGGTTTGAGGAGAAGAGAGGAAGTTTGGAAAAGTCACTGTGGAGAATTTGATTGAGAGTCATATGAATAAAAGGATTTCCAAGCAGTCCTGGGGGGATAACTGAGATTAGATATCACAAATTTGTAGTGGAGCCAATTGGCAGCTTCTTGACTTTCTCTAGTAATACTTGGCAGTAGGATAACAAGAACAGAGAAAACATATGGTTAGGTTTGCCCAACATTGAGGATTGGCAGGACAGCTGCAGAGGAAGTTCGAGATGGGCTAAAGGATCTTGATTACTAGTAAGAGAGTGGCCATTGTGTTCAGGCAAGGCAGAGAAATGAATGAACCAACTGAACACTCAAAATAACTGAAAATGTCACCTTGCTGTCATGGTATTGGATGATGTCATCCATTTTCCACTTAGTCAACAATTGCACACCTTACCACAGCCACAGTGAGAGCTGCACCTTTGCTAACTGCCAGGTGGAAAGAAATCCATTCCCAGCCAATAAATGATTAACCTCATTTACAAACCCCTGAGTATTTTATCTACCATGCTTTTAAATAACTTAAGCAACATGACTCTAGCAACTTAGAGTAGTCTAAATCTCACTCTCTCCTATTCTCTGATAGTTTCTGAGAAAACACTTTAATATTCTGCTCAATTTTCTTTTATTTCATTCACGTCAAGGCCGTGTTTTAAATGATTATATTTTAATAAAGTTATGTTAGTATGAGTTATGTTTTAAAGCATTCTAAAGGTGACACTGCAAATAGTGACTAATGTTTTGTTAATGTAAATATGACATTAACTAATTTGCAGTGAGTAAGAATTTCTTGTCTTTGGAAGGATTGTGTTACATCTATTAGGCTGATTTGGTCATCTTGTAGATATGATTTTGATCAAAATTATGTACATTAAAAACTCATTAAAAATCTGACAAATAGTTTTTCCTTGTCTCCATTTAACTAACTTCCAATTCAATTATGGAAACCATATTTTTATCTCATTTTCAGGCTCTAGAATTGGCTCTTCCTATGTTGACCAATATTTCAATGCCTTTCTTTTAGTCTTTGAATTACTGGAAGTCTCTGATGCACTTGAATTGCTGATATTGGCCATATCACTATTTCTTATTCATCCTGTAATCCTTGGCTCAATGCCAACTCCTTCAAGAAGTCTTCGAGTCACCTCCCTATCCTCCTGGGCTGGGCAAAGTGCCTCCCTTAGGTACCTGTATAACATTCAGTGTGTTATTCTATACATGCACTGTCCATGTTGTATTATAATTAATTGTTCATATCTCAATTTCTATTGTTTTAATATTTATTAAAATTTATTTCTATTATTTTAATATTTTATATTACTTTAAGCTTTTTGAGGGTAAGGCTGTCTTATTCTTCTTTGTACTCCTAGTGTTAAGCATAGACTAGACAATCAGAACATGCATTTGAATGAAATAATGTACCAAAAAATAGCAAAATCCAGAATGTTTTTAATCAGGCGGTCAATGCATTTGAATTCTTAACAACTTGAATATTGCAACAGTTAGTACAGCAATGTACTTATTTTGATCAGGAAAAAAGCAATGCAAAATGAAATGAGATGTTGCATATGATTGTGTATGTGTGAGCAGATAGACTAGTTTTCCTTACTATCCTTGTAAGTGACCCCTCTCACAAAAAGAGTTGGTGATGATGTGCTTTGGGGACACAGTAATAATTCTAGAAAGCACATTTTTATTGTTATCCACATTTTGATCCTCAAGTCCAATTCTACACAGGAAATTTATTGGATAATCTTTGAGCCAAAAATAAAAAATTATTTTATCTGTTGAATATAAAAAATTGGGCTAAACGGCATATTCTCATTCACTGCAGAATGATCCACAACAGCCAGAAGGTGGAAACAAACTAAATGCCCATAGATGGATGAATGGATAAAGAAAATGTGGTATAAGCATATAAGACAACATTATTCAGCCTTTGAAAATGACAGAAATCCTGTCACATGCTATAATGTGAATGAACCATGAGGACATTTTGCTAAGTAAAATAAACCAGTCATGAAAAGACATATACTACATGATTCCACTTATATGAGGTATCTAAAGTAGTAAAACTCATAGAAACAGAAAGTAGAATGGTGCTGGCCAGGGGCTGGGGGAGGGGGAAAATGAGGAGTCATTCAATGGGTATAGAGTTTCAGTTTTGTAAGGTGAAAATGTTCTAAAGATTTGTTACATGACAATGTGATATAGTTAACATTGCTGAACTGTACACTTGAAAATGGTTGAGATGGTCAATTTTATGTTATGTGTGGTTTTCAGTGTTATTTGTTACCACAACTAAAAAGTAATATTTTAAAAATAATTACTCTGAAAAAAACTGGGGTAGATGCTGACAAGATGGTACTTCTGACTTTCTCCCCTATGCCCAAATCCTGATACTGATTTTCTGGTGCCTCAAGCTCTATTTTTTTTTTTTTTCTTTTTTTTTGAGACAGAGTCTCACTCTGTTGCCCAGGCTAGAGTGAGTCCTGTGGCATCAGCCTAGCTCACAGCAACCTCAATCAAATTCCTGGGCTAAGCAATTCTTCTGCCTCAGCTTCCTGAGTAGCTGGGACTACAGGCATATGCCACCATGCCCAGCTAATTTTTCTGTTTTTAGTAGAGACAGGGTCTTGCTTTTGCTCAGACTGGTCTCAAACTCCTGACCTCAAGTGATCTTCCTGCCTCAGCCTCCCGAAGTGATAGGATTACAGGTGTGAGCCACTGCACCCAGCCTACATTTTGGCTTTGATGATTGGGTAGTCATTGGAACAATTGATTTAATGTTGTGATGGAGGTAAAAGGACGAGCTTATTGGCCTGAGAAGTGGAAGGGATTAAGGAATTGGAAAGAGTAAGTATAAATAGTGTCCTGGGAAAGGTGGCAGGTAAAGTATTATTTAGAGGTGAGAAGGTTTAGTGGCTTTTTCTGCCTATAGTGGAAGATACTTAAGCATGCCAAGGCTTAGGGTAAGGAGTTAATAGAGAGGGAGAATTAAAAGATACAGGAAGCAGAAGGAATAAATGACATATGGAATTGCCAAAGGGACCATGTCTAGAGCTAAGAGGAGGAATTGACATCCAACAGGGGAGGGACACATCTATTTTCAGAAAAGGAAGAGAAAGAAGGATAGATGTGAGATACCAGACTTCTGAGGCTGAATAAGAATGCCAGTTTTCCTTCCTGGTTTTCAAAATGGTAGCCTAGAACCAAATATTCTTAAGTACTATTTTACTTAATTTTGACTGAATTAATTTAGATTTTTTTTGTTTGTTTTTTACCAAAGATGAGTTTATCTAAAGTAATGAATGAAAGCTTTAAGTTGATTATTAAGGGTGAGTTATAGACATTTCTTAGCTTT